AAAGTGAGCAGTCAGAGCTGCTAAAGATCATAAAGTCAGTGATCAGAGCACAGAGTAGCATCAGATGAGATCTGAGAATAGAACTAGGTCCCTGTGTGAGAGAATGAAGCCTGCCCATCCCTATAACTCCCCAGGAACATCTCCCCACCTCCTTTCAGCACCAGAGATGGCAGCCACAGAGAGGCAGTGTCTGAGACGTGTTATAGTTACATGTACCTAATTGGTAGAAAAAGCCCCAAGGTATAGTAGAAAAGTCAGGTCTTCTGGATAAGTATCAAGAATTTGGGAATCCAGGGATGGAGCCAAGATATCAGAGTAACAGGAAGTACAGTTAAGCTTTCCAATGCAACTCTTCCACAAGTATCTAGAAAATGCACCAGATGGAGTCCTAATCAGGAAATCAAAGAAAAAAATCAGAGTGAGTCCTATTTCCAGCTCAGGTCAGCATACGGAGATAAACAGAGAGGCCTGTGGACATTTGAGGCGGGGCCTGTTTAGGAGCATGCAGCTACAGAGGATTCTAGTGTGTAAGACCTGAGAGAGGATCGAGGCTGTACACCAGAGCACTGAATCTCAGACTCACGTAGAAGGACCCTGACCTTGTGAAGGTTATGGGAATGGATGCCAACTGGCAGCTCTGCTGTTCACTATTCAGTTCTGGGTCACAGATCCAGGGCTGGCTGACAAGGGGACCTGGGAGTCAGTGAAGAATGGTCACCCAGACTGTATCTAGTCTTCGTATGCTATTTTGCCATGAAAACCAAGGCTTGTCATCGAATGCAACCCCAAAATCCACTGCAGTGAATTTCACCACAATCCAGAGTGATCCCTCACAGATAGGAATAATCTTTCTATGATCTAATTGTTTGTTCTTACCTGCTTAATGAGGCTAATCTGCTTCTCACAAAAGAACACCAACAACTTCCCCATCACCATTATCTAAACGTTCAGGCTTCTTTGAAGAATCTTTGATTTTATGTCCCCTTACTGTGATATAAGTACATAACTGCAAACTAAAAAACTTCAGTGTTGGCAAAGGGACTATAATGCTACTCTTTTTCAGCTAAGCTAACATTTATCAGGAAGGAGCCGTGTTTGAACACTGGACTAGATAATATTCCTTCTCTAATGCCAAAGCTGCCATCTTTGTACCCTCCTCTCCCCTTCATTTTTTCATTTCTTTCTCACCACATTATGACTTGGTCCCATTGACAGAAAACAAAAAACTAAAAGCAAGAGCTTACATTGAAATGGAATTTACCATAACTATACCTTCCCACTCTTCCATTATGGAATTCAGTTTCTTATGCTTGAATGTTTCTAAATAAAGAGCCCTGGTTTTTTTCTTAACTTCTTTGAGATACTCTTCAAACAGAAAGCTCATAATTTGTTCTCTGTTTTCACTGAATGTTAAATGGCTCTGAAATTATATAAACTGTATTGAACAGATGGCAGAAAATGCAGAGGAAATGCAGAGAGACAGTACCTGGAGAAAAGAAACTCATCAATCAGTAGCTTAAAATATGTATTAATCAAGAGGCAAAGGTCCTATAAATAGCTAGTTTGTTCCTTTTATTTCTAAAGGAATGACAGCTACAAATAGAAGTTAAAGAAATCTTATCTTCTCAGAGTCCCCTCAGAAATTCCATCTGTCCTTTTGAAGATGAAATATATACCTTGCAGCTATTCAAAATGAAATGAATGATAGTTATTAACTGTCATGGTAGTAATTAAGTCAAACAAGTCCTCCAACATAGTTCCTTTGATAAGGAGGTGTGATGCTTTAAAAAAAATGTCGAATATTTTTAGTCTTATTTTCATTCTTTTTTTCAGTTGCAGGGGTTTACACAAAACAGTGACCATGGTGTTTCCAGCTTATAGCTGAGAGGTTTCAGAAAGAAGCTAAAGCTTCCTTCTGCTGCTTGATTTGGCCTGGAGGGGAGAAGGAGAAAAGAATGACAATGCCATGAAACAGATAAGCTGTAAAATATAAATGGCAGGAAAGAAGATGAGGGATCTGTATGCAACTGAGGCCACCAAAAAGAGATGCACTAACCATCAGGTTCAATCTGTGAGAAGCCAGCTTGTCTTCAGAATTGTCTGTGAGAATGATCTATACTAAATTCCACCTGAAAGGTAGTCGGTAGTTCTGGGAATGATGCTGGTCTCAAATCTCAAAGGACTGAGCCTGACTCAACTCATGCACCAGTGCACTTCCGAAGGTCAGGACTGTACAATAACCTTGGGGACAGCCAAACACCATTCTTTATAAGGTTGACATCCCTCTGGAAGAACACACTGGGCAAGAGAAAGCTCTGATTAAGCACTATTTGTGAGTGAGGGGAGATAGTGTGTACAATGAAAATCAATCAATCAGTATTTATTATGAGTTTACCTTGGGTAAAGCACTATGCTAAGGAATGGAGATACAAGTAAAAGCAACAGTTCTCCCATCAAGGAGCTTCATTCTAGTGGGGGAAACATGTACAGACACAGATACAATAAATAATAAAAATAGCTAACATTTATGTAGCACTTACTATGTGCTAGGCACTGTACTAAACACTTTACAATTATAATCTTATTTGATCCTCACAATCACCCTGGGAGGTAAGTGCTATTATTATCCCCATTTTACAGATGAGGAAATAGAGGCAGATAGAGGTTAAGTGACTTGCCAGGGTCACATGGCTAGTGTCTGAGGCCAGATTTGAACCCAGGTCTTCCCTGACTCCAGGCCCAGAGCTCTATCCACTGAGCCACCTACAAGATACATACAAAGGTAAACTTAGAAGGAAAAGTACTACTAGATAGGGAAACCAGGAAAGGGCCAAAGAATTTGGACTTTGACATGAGTTGTGAATGAAGCCAGAGATTCTAAAAGGTGGAAGTTAGGAAGATTAGCATTCCAAGCATGCAGGACAACCAGTGCTAAAACAGAGGCCAGAAATGGAGTGTCGTGTGAGGAACAGCAATTAGGCCAGTATGGCTAGATAGTAAGAGAAGAGTAAGTGAAGAGAAGTAATGTGAGAGGAAACCAGAATGATATTAAGAGGGTGAGGGTATAAAGAATTTTAAATACCAAACAGAGGATTTTAAATTTGAATTTGGAGGTAATAGGGAGCCATTTGAATTTACTGGGGGCTGGGGGGGTTGCCATGGTCAGACCTGTGCTTTAAGAAGCTATATGAAGGATGGATTGGAGTGGGGAGAGATGAGACAAGAAGACCAATGAGGAGGTTGTTATAATAGTCCAGGTTAGAAATGATAAGGGCCTGAATATGGGTGGCAGCCATATGAGTGGAGAGAGGATGATGTATCCAAGAGACATTGTAGAGAAGGATTTGGCGAGAGGTTGTATGTATGTGTGTATATATTACATATTAGACTATATATAAATCATATTGTATTATATATGATACATACAAATATATCTTATTTATATATAGCTTATATATCCATATATAGGTACATGTATCTACATCTGTAGACAAATAGATAAATAGACACAGAGTGTGAGTGAGAGTGAGAAGTCAAGGATTATTCTGAGGTTATGGACCTGGATGGCTGGAAAGATGGTGGTACCCTCAATAGTAATTAAGTTCATCCGGAGTCAGAGAAACTGGGTTCATTTCTGGCTCTACTTCTTACCTGTGTGACCTTGATTAAATCCCTTCTCCTCTATTGGCCTCATTTTACTTTTATGTAAACTCAAGACTTGATCCTACAACCTTATGTGTCTAGTTGCCTACAGCAATTTAGAAAGACATTCCTGCCTTCTTCCCTGATCTACATGAAGAAAACAAATATAACTAAGCAATTATTACCAACACTCAATAAGCAATAATCACTAACACCATATAAATTGAATTGTATAGGCTTGTTGTCACAATGTCATTAGTGGATGAAAAAAATGGAAAAAAATATATGTCATTGTCTTTTGTCAACTGTGATAATATGTCTGGTATGTGAAATAGACGAGCAGCTTAAGTAGCTTAGTGGAAAGAGCACTAATAGAGAGAGGACCTCGGTTCAAATCCCAGTTTTGCTGCTTATGGTCTATGTGACAAGGGCAATTTAATTTATGCAGGCTTTAGTTTCTTCATCTGTAAAATAAGAAAGTTGAACTAGATAATTTCAAAGGGTCCTTTGGAACTTTAGGGGCTGTGATTGCATGAGGTTAAGACTACTTTTTTTTATCGCTTTTTGGTGAGGCAATCGGGGTTAAGTGATTTGCCCAGGGTCACACAGCCAGTAAGTGTCATGTGTCTAAGGCCGGATTTGAACTCAGGTCCTCCTGACTCCAAGGCTGGAGCTGTATCTGCTGCGCCACCTAGCTTCCCCATGACTGCATCTTAAAAAGCAAAAAGCTGAAAATCAAAACTATTAGGAGCTGGCTGCCAAATACTGGGCAAATTATTTTCTGTGCTGTGGGCCTTTAGCTTCACTACCTGTAAAGTGAGTTTAAGGGTTATAATTTACCTCCTAAATTTAATCAAGATGAAATAACATGATACAACATCAACTACTTCACAAAGTATGTCAATAGACCTTCAGGTCTTTCTCACAAAGTCCCCAATTTCTCATTGGGAAAATCAGCATTAACTATATTCTTGTGCTTTACTGAAACTCTTCTGGAAATGCAGCTCAAACCCTACATTTTGCATTTTCGCCTAAAATAGGTGGCCAACTACATGCCATTTCTCATGAGAAAGAAAATGAGTGTATTTTTCGAAAGCTACACAAGCTATAGTTCGCATCTACCATTCCTTTCACAGTAAGTCCTCCAGCATTCTTTTTCTAGAATGGGCAAAAATCTTCATAATCCATCCTAACCTCAAAGCTTTAAAGCACAGGGCACATTCTACTAAACTAAATAGGTAATCAGCAGCAACAGGAAGACATAATCTTTTGCCCACATGTGGCAGACTTGAACTTAAAGCCCTTGATGTCAGTCATTTTCCTCTTCGATCCAAAGAAATGAATTGTCCTTCACTTACCTGTCTTTGGGTATGTTTGCATACCTGTCCTGTTTATCTTGTGCTCTCTTCTTATTCTCCTCAAACTGTTCCAAGACACCTTTTGATTTTCCAATAGGTAAATGAGGAATAAGTAAATTTCCATCCTTTGAATCTCCCCCAAACAGCTGGGGTTTTGCCTGATATTTTGTGAAAATACTAGGTTCACTCTGTTGGAAATAAAAAAGGAAATCTTACAGCTACTCAGCTACTTACAATATTGTCCTCAGTTCTCTGCAAAGTAGGACCATTTCCACACATGATATGATTCTAAACATGTAATTTTGTAACTTTGAGTACTTCGCTTTAGTCTTAGCATAACAGATTTTCCAGAAAAAATAAAAGTGACATTGCCTATCGAGAATTAAGCTCTTGGAGAAACAATCAATAATTCCATTAAAGAGAATAACAATGAGAAAGCATACCAAACTTTATGGGATGCAGCCAAAGCACTACTTAGGGGAAAATTTATTTCTCTAAATTTTTACATCAATAAAATAGAGCAAGAGTAGATCAGTGCCTTGGGCATTCAACTAAAAAACTTGAAAAAGAACAAATTAAAAATCCCCAATTGAGCATCAAATTGGAAATACTAAAAACCAAAGGTGAGATTAATAAATTTGAAAGAAAACTGTTGAACTAATAATAAAACTAGGAGATTGTTTTATGAAAAAGGGAACAAGATAGATAAACCAATGGTTAATTTGATTAAGAAGAAGAAAATATCTAATATCAAAATATCCAATACCAAATATACAGTATCAAAAATAAAAGAAGTGAATTTGCCACCAATGAAGAGGAAATTAAAGCAATCATTAGGAAATATTTTGCCCAATTACAAGCCAATAAATCTGAAAATCTAAGCAAAATTGATGAATATTTATGAAACTATAAATTGCCCAGAATAACAGAAGGAGAAATAGAATACCTAAATAACACCAACTTAGAAAGAGAAACTGAACAAGCCATCAATGAATTCCCTAAGAAAAAATCCCAACAGTCAGATGGGTTCACAAGTGAATTCTACTAAATATTTAAAGAATAATTAATTCCAATACTATATAAACTATTTAGAAAAATAGGTGGAGGAATCCTACCAAATTCCTTTTATGACACAAATATGGTGGTGATACCTAAACCAGGAAGAGCTAAAACAGAGAAAGACCATATTCCCAAAGACCATAGACCAATTTCCCTAATGAATATTGAAGCAAAATGTTTAAATAAAATACTACCAAGGAGATTACAGCAATATATTATAAGGATCATACACTATGGCTAGATGGGATTTATAGCAGGAATGCAGGTTGGTTCAATATTTAGAAAAAAACATTAGCATAGTTGACTATATCAATAACAAAACCAACAGAAATCATATGATAATGTCAATAGATGCTGAAAAAGGTTTTGACAAAATACAGTACCCATTCTTATTAAAAACAATAGAGAACATAAGAATAAATGAAACTTTTCTTTTTTTTTTTGCTTTTTGTTTTGTTTTGTTGAAATGGAACTTTTCTTAAAACGGTAACTTATATCTATCTAAAACTATCAGCAAGTATTATCTGTAATGGGGATGAGCTAGAAACCTTCCCAATAAAATCAGGAGTGAAACAAGGATGCCTAGCATCACCACAATTATTCAACATTGTACTAGAAATATTAGTTTTAGCAATAAAGAAATTGAAGGAATTAGAACAGACAATGAGGAAACAAAACTATCACTCTCTGCAGATGATATGATGGTATACTTAGAGAATCCTAGAGAATCAACTAAAAAACTAGTTGAAATAATTAACAACTTCAGCAAAATAGCAGGATATAAAATAAACCCACATAAATCATCAGTATTTCTATATATTTCCAACAAAATGCAGCAGCAAGAGATAGAGAAATTCCATTTAAAATAACTGCAAACAATATAAAATACTTGGGATTCTACCTGCCAAGACAAAACTGGGAACTAGATGAACACAATTATAAAATACTTTTTCTATAAATAAAGTCAGATCTAAATAATTAGAAAAATATTAATTGCTCATGGGTAGGCCAAGCAACTATAATAAAAGTGACAATTATACCTAAATTAATTTACTTATTCAGTGCTATACCAATCAAACTACCAAAAAATTATTTTATAGAACTAGAAAAAATAACAAAATTCATTTGGAAGAACAAAAGGCCAAGAATATCAAGGGAATTAATAGAAAAAAATGCAAAGGAAGGTAGCCTAACAATACCAGAACTCAAACTATATTATAATGCAGTAATCATCAGAACTATCTGGTACTGACTAAGAAACAGAGTCATAGATCAGTGGAATAGATTAAGTACATAAGACATAGTAGTAAATTACCATAGTAACCTAGTATTTGATAAACCCAAGGACCCCAGACTCTGGGATAAGAACTCACTATTTGACAAAAACTGCAGAGAAAACTAGAAAACAATATGGCAAAAATTAAGTATAGAACAACATCTTACACTATATACCAAGATAAGTTCAAAATGGATACCTGATTTATACATAAAGTGACACCATAAGTAAATTAGGAAAGCAAGGTATAGTTTACCTGTCAGATTTATGGAGAAGGGAAAAATTTATGACCAAACAAGAGATAGAGAGCATTACAATATATAAAACAGATAATTTTGATTATATTAAATTAAAAAGTTTTTACACAAACAAAACCAGTGCAACCGAGATTAGAAGAAAGGCAGAAAACGAGGAAATGATCTTTATATCAAGTGTCTCTGATAAAGGCCTCATTTCTCAAATATATAGAGAACAGAGTCAAATTTATAAGAATATAAGCCATCCCCCAACTGATAAATGGTCAAAGGATGTGAACAGGCAGTTTTCTGATGAAGAAATCAAAGTACCTAAAGTCATATGAAGAAATGCTCTAAATCACTTTTAATTAGAGAAATGCAAATGAAAACAACTCTGAGGTACCACCTCACACCTATTATATTGGCTAATATGACAAAAAAGGAAAATAATCAATGTTGGAGAGGATGTGAGAAAATTGGGACACAGATACACTGTTGGTGGAATTATGAACTGATGCAACCATTCTAGAGAGCAATTTGGAACTATGCCCAAAGGGATATAAAACTGTGCATAGCCTTTGATCTAGCAATACCACTACTAGGTCTGTTTTCCAAAGAGATCATAAAAATGGGAAAAAGATCTACATGTGCAAAAATATTTATAGTGGTCCTTTATGTGGCAGCAAAATATTGGAAATTGAGGGGATGTCCATCAATTAGGGAATGGCTAAACAAGCTGTGGCATATGAATGCAATGGAATACTATTGTGCAATAAGATATGATGAGCAGGCAGAATTCAGAAAAACCTAGAAAGATTTGTATGAACTGCTGCAAAATGAAATGAGCAGAACCAGGAGCACACTCTACACAGTAACAGCAATAATATATGATGATCAACTATGAATGATTTAGCTTTTCTCAACAACACAATGATCCAAGACAATTATAAAGGCCTCATGATGGAAAATGCTATCCATATCTGGATAGAGAACTAATGGACTCTGAAAGCAGATTGAAGCATACTACTTTTATTTAATTTTTTTTCATGTTTTTTTTTCCCTTTTGGTCTGTTTCTTCTTTCACAACTATGACTAATATGAAGATATGTCTTACATGATTGCACACATATAACCCATACAAAATTGCTTACCATTTTAGCAAGAGGAGAAGGGAGGGAGAAGAGAAGAAAAATTTGGAACTCAAAATCTCGCAAAAATGCATGCTAAAAATTGTCTTTACATATAATTGGAAAAAAAATTAAATATTATTTTAAAAAAGTACAAAACTACCCAAGTAACAGACTCTCTGAAAATTAGAATGACCCAGATAGACATTAATAACTCCATGAAATAAGAAAAAATATTTTTAAATAAGTCAAAAGACTAAAAAAAGAAGAAAACATAAAGTATTTCATATAAAAAATTACTGACCTTAAAAACAGATTAAAGAGAAAAAAAATCTAAGAATCATTGTACTATATCAAAGCTATATCCAAAAAAAGTCTGGACGCTATGTTTCAAATAATCATGAGTAAAAACTTACCAGTCCTATTAGAATCTGAGGACAAATTGAATATAGAAATAATCTACTAGTCACCTGGTGAAAAATCCCCAAATCAAAATTCCCAATAACATCATAGCCAAAACTAGAGCTTCTGGGTAAAAACAAAACAAAACAAAGCAAAACAACAACAACAACAACAACAACAACAACAACAACAACAACAACAAAACACAGTCTGAGCTGCCAGAAAGATAGAATTCAAATACAGAGGAGTCACTTCTGGTTCACATAAGATTTCACAGCTGCCACTGTAAAGGAGAAGTGAGCTTGGAATATGATATTCCAAAAGGCAAAAGATATAGTCTTACAACCAAAAAATAATTTACGCAATAAAACTAAGTATGATCCTACAGGGGAAGAAATGGATCTTTAATGAAATGAAGGACTTCCAAGCATCCCTGATAAAATCACTAAAGCTAGGTAGAAACTGTAAAATGCAAACGCAGGAATCAAGAGAGTGTAAAAAGTAATATATTTGAGCAATTAGAAGGGACTATATAAGGATTAAATATTTACATTATAACAGGGATAGAAGACACAAGTTTTCTCCTCAGATCCCTAATGTCATCCAGAGTTATAAAGGAAATTAGATGAAACAGAGGGCCTCGAATGATTTTGTTGTTTTGATGATCTTTTTTAAAAAAGAAAGAAGGAAAGAAAGGAAGAGAAGAAAGGAAAACTCAGTACCTTACACAATCTAGGTACACAAGTAGAAGACTATACTAACAAAAGGAGCAGGCATCACTTGAATTCCACTTTCACTGGCTTCACTGGACACAATGAAATGACTCAAAGGAGGGTAGAATATACACAGAGACTTTGGTATAGGAATATATTCAACTCATAGGGAATAGGAGAGGACCAGAGGGAGGGAGAAGGGGAATAAAAGGGAGGGATTAGTCATAATCAAAACAAATTTCAAGTGTGGATATTTGATTGTAAAGTGTTTTAAAAGGCAAGAAAGAAAGAATAAGAATCTGAAATGGAAAGTAGACTGCATCAAGCATAGATTCCTAGTGCTTTGCACATTACTCATTTATCACCCTCTTCTTTTTTATAAAGAAGAAGGTGTGTGTGTTGTGGGGAGGGACAAAGAAAACAAAAGGTATAAAAGAATAGGATGGAGGAAATTACACAATTAACACTCAAAACTTAGAGTGATTAAAAAGTTTTTGCACAAAACAAGTGAAATTAAATTAGAAGGGAAACAGTTTCTTGGGGAAAGTTTTTGCCCCAAGTATCTCTGATAAAAGTCTCATTTCTAACATATATAAGGGACTAATTCAAATTTATAAGAATAAAAGCCATGCCAGAATTGGAAGAATACAAATGGATAGTTTTCAAAGGAAGAAATCTAAGTCTTTAATAACCAAATGAAAAAAATGCTCCAGAGAATAGAGAATATAGAGAAATGAAAATTGAAGCATTTCTGGGGTTCTACCTCATTCCCATTAGACTGGCAAAGATGACAAAAAAGGGAAATCACAAATATTGGAGGGGCTATAGGAAAACAGGGAAATTAATGAACTGTTGGTGGAGCTATGAATTATTCTTGTCATTCTGGAAAACCATTTGGAACTTTGGAACTACGAAATTAAAAGGCATTAATTTTTGTATACTTTTTGACCCAGCGATATTATTATGTTATACCTCAAGAAACTGAAGAAAGAGCAAATAGACTCTTATATGCAAAAATATTTGTAGCAGCTAGCTCTTTTGTACTGGCAAAGAAATGGAAACTAAGGAGATGCCCATCAACTGGGGAATGGCTAAACAAAATATGGTATAAGAATATAATGAGATATTATTGGGTCATAAGAAATGATAAGACTTATATGATCTAATGCAGAGTGAAGTAAGCAGAAGCAATAGAACAATTATATAGTAGAACAGCAATGTAAAGGTAAACAACTTTGAAGGATCTTAATAAGAACTCAAATCAACACAGTAACCAACAACAATTTCAGAGAATCTATGATGAAACATGCTTCACAATTCCTGACAGAGTGGTGATAAACTTAAGATGCTGAAAAAGACATTTATTTTAGACCTGGCCAATGTGTGAATTTGTTGTGCTTAACTATACATATTTGTTATTGGGTTTTGTTTTTCTTCTTTTTTTCAAATTGGGGGGGCAGGGCTAGAGTAAGTGGATTGTGTGGAGATGGAAGGAGCAGAAGGAGGAATAAAAAACAAATGTTTGTTAATTGGAAAAATAAGTAGTTGTTTTTTTAAAAATGAAATGAAGCTCTTTCTACCCAGTAAAGTTTCTAATGCAGTGCTAAGGGATGTAAAAATCTTTCAGATGAAATGGCTTAATGTCAACTGCATACATTTCAAGGAAAAACAATGAATTCCTAGTGATAGTGTTAGGAAATGTGGAAGGTTACCTTTCATACATTAATTAATTTAATTTTAATTGCTGCTGCTCAGATGCAACTCAGTAATTGTGTTACTAGGTCTCTGTCAAAAACATCTCAATGACATACACAGTTGACAAGTTTCTTTTCAGCTTTCATAATCCAAACTCAAAGTCTCTTTCAGGTCATTGGGCCTCAATTTTAGCCCTAAAATCCTTCTAGAGGATTTAGGTTTAGTTTATGACCTAGGCCTATAGGTCACTAGACTTCCATCAAATGAAAAGGTGAACCTGCAAAATATTATAATAAATTATAACTCACATTTCTATCAGGCTTTAAAGTTTACAAAGTACTTTCCTCAGATTCAGGAAATAGCAGAGCAAAGAAGTGAACCCAGGTTTCCTGAAACCAAGTCCAATGCTATTTCCATTGCACCATGCTCTCTCTCTCTGTCTCTGTCTCTGTCTCTCTCTATCTATCTATCTATTTAATCAGAGCAACAGTGAACACTAGGGGAGCAGGAAAATAGACTAATTAACAGTGATTAAAGATTTAAGAGATTTAGAAGCTATTCCTGGTATAGGTACTGAGTCATATAATATAAATTGGCAAATATCTGATTGTACTATGTCTTATTTGTCTCCTCTGAACATTCACTTTAAGTGCATATTTTAGAAGGAGGCATTAACTAGTCTACAAATCACCTGGAGCTTCTTAGAAAATTTTGCTGTCAAAACGAAAAATGTATATTACGATGTTACCAAACACTTCTCAAGAAGCCGTTTCCCCCTGCAAAATCTAATAAGTAAAACTGCATTACTGGTCTCAGAAAAAATGATGCAATATTTGACTCTCCCCAAGAAAGGTTGAAGCCCAACCATATTTGGCACAATTCCATCATTAATTATTAGTTAAATAACAAAAACAACTGCAAAAACAAATTATTTTCCCATTACATCTAACCTAGCAAGTCACTCATCTATTATAAACCCTCTTCAAATATTATCCTTTGAGATCTACATTTCCTAAGATGTATTTAAACAGTTTTTAAAAAACATCCTACTTTCCTTAAGAACAGTGAAATGATTGCAAAGAAATTACGTAAATCAGACTCACATCCTCAGAGTTCTGTTGTGAAGTTTTGGCATGTCTCAAGTAGGCATTGAAGTCCAAAGATGCTGAAAGTGATTGTGAATTCTCTGGACAGAATTGGGACCCAAAGAGGAACTGGGAATCAGTGAGGCTGGAGTAATCATTAAGATTGTTATTCCAACTAGATGGTTTATTGGTCCTGGAATAATATAAAAAATAAAGAGTAATATGCTTCAAGTCAAGAGATATTTTGAGCCAATTAAATTCTAGAGTTATAGGATTTAGAGATCATTGAATTCAACCCTTTATTTTATGGCCGATGAAAAGTATTTATTAGGTGAAGTGATTCACCAGTGGTTATAGAATGAATGAATGAAAAAGTATTTATTAAGCACCTATTATGTGCAAAGCACTGTGCTAAATGCTATAACAATACAAATAGAAAAAAAAAGCAATAGTCTGTTCTCAAGGAGCTCACATTCTAATACAGGCAATAAGTCCATAGATGAATGCTTTCAGGCTCCAAATTCAATGCTCTTGCTACACTATTATATCACCTTTCTAATTTACAGACAATCACTTCAGTCTCTATTGTCACACTGCCTGCTATCACCCTCAGTATGGTGCCATCAGCATTCTACTAGGTGTCAGTTAAGACTAAACTATCACCACCCTGACTACAATAAGCATCATTTATAGAAGATCAAGAGAATTCTTGGTACTGCTGTAGAATAACTTTCTTGACAGAGAAATTTACTTAGTACTCCTAATAACACCAGCATATCTTATATAGGACCATCTTCATCTTTGAAAACATAGTTCATAAATCTTTAGGGACTAAAGAAGCACAGTACATTGTCTTCTCAAGATTTTCATAAAGTAATGTACTGTTCCCTACAATGGCTTCTTGTTTCTTGTCCATTTATCATAAGTGACTTATAGATTATAATATTGTAACAACATACTAGAGTCCAAATGTTTTTAATGTTTATAAATAAAATTTACTTTAACTTAGGATATGCATAAATGTTCAAAAATATGAAGAAGAACAGGAAGATAGTTCAAACAAACAAAAAAAAATCAGCTCCCTTCCCCCCAAATAAAACCTCGAAAAAACCCAAACAAGTAAAATAACCAAAAAAATGATTGTGGATGATTGGACATTTCTCGCATTTACTGATTTTTAAAGCCTCTACAACCCATAATTCTGCCATATTAAAAACTCCTGTCCTTGCATTTTTCCTCTCTACTTATATTTTACATAGCACCCACTTATAGCTTTCAGAAGGGACTTTAGCTATCATCTAGTCCAACCTTCTCATTTTACAGAACAGGAAAGATACTCCGCCAAGAAATAATCAATTGTTGAAACCTGCATCATTTCCTGTGGAAAGTTATGGCATTCATTACCTCTACTATGATGAATTTGGCACTGTTACTCACTCTCTGAACTCTTCGAGTGTAGTGAGCAATATTAGCATAGTGATGCCATATGGTGGAAGTCAGTGGAGCTGACTCCTTGGTTCCATATACTCCATAAACTAGGTAGACAGGCGAGTCACGTAAACTTTGCAAGCCTCAGTTTCCTCACTTACGGAGATAATAATACTTGTTCTACCTACTTCCCAGGGTTGTTGTAAGGAAGATACTTTGTAAACCAAAAAGCACTAATAAAATGTGAGCTAAAATTAATGTCAATTCCATTTGAATATAATAGACTGCATACTATATCGGTCAGGACAAATAAAAGAACATGAATGTCAAATTTAAGAGAAATCTAGACAATTTGGGCTACAAAGTACTATCAAACTATTTTAAAAATCAGTAGCCCAAGAAATAACTCACAAAGATCATTCATCTTCAAAATATAAAATTTAAAATAACAGTAGTACATAAATATAATACATATCCTAAGCAAGAAGGATCTTTTATGTCATTAATGAATAATAATGACAAGCTGATTAGATTCAAGGACTACACACACACACACACACACACACACACACACACTTCACTGTGGAAAGAAAGAGACATAAGTATATATGTATATATATGTGTATATATATGTATATGTACATATGTGTGTTCACACATATATATATGGAGAGTTGCTTAATAATAGTTCAAAATAGATCTTTGTGATTCCCCCCACAAAGCCACAGTGAATAATTAGTTGGGCTGGAACAAAGGCAGATTAGTAGGTCAATTTAAATCATTGTGTTTGTAAGTAGGTTAGTTTTGAAATTGATGAAGACCTCTAATTTTTGTTCCACACTCAATACTAACTGCAATTTTTTCTTACAGAGAACAAATCTCTAGGTTTCTGCTAAATTAATAATGAATCTTCAAGAAAGTTTTTGAAGAAAAGAAAGCATTCAGTGAATAGTCATACAGGAAGACAATTAGAAATTTCTTAAATTTCTTCCCTCCACTTCTGGTATACTGTCTCACCCATCACCCAAACCAGAAGCTAGGAAATGTTGGTAAAGGACATAGCTGGTAGATACCATTACGTGCTCAGGGTTAAATTACTTTCTCTAAGTGGGCTTGAAAATTTTCTCTAAACATTATGAAATGAAAATGGATAATTTTCCATACATTAAATTGAAAAGTTTTTGCACAAACAAAGCCAATGCAACCAAGATTAGGAGGGAAACAGAAAACTGGGAAAGAATTTTTACAACCAGTATCTCTGATAAAGGCCTCATTTCTAAAATACAGAGAGAACTGAGTCAAATTTATAAGGATACAAGTCATTCCCCAATTGATAAATGGTCAAAGGATATAAACAGGCAGTTTTCAGATGAAGAAATTAAAGCTATCTGCAGTCATATGAAAAAATGCTCTAAATCACTGTTGATTAGAGAAATGCAAATCAAAACAACTCTCAAGTACCACATCACACCTATCAGACTGGCTGACGTGACTAAACAGGAAAATGATCAACGCTGGAAAAGATGAGGGAAAATTGGCATACTAATGCATTGTTGGTGGAGTTGTGAACTGATCCAACCATTCTGGAGAGCAATTTGGAACTATGCCCAAAGTGCTATAAAAATGTGCACACCCCATCAATTGGGGAATGGCTGAGCAAGTTGTGGTATATGAATGTGATGGAATACTATTGTGCTATAAGAAATGATGAACAGGCTGACTTCAGAAAAACCTGGAAAGACTTGTATAGTCTGATGCTAAGTGAAGTGAGCAGAACCAAGAGAACGTTGTACATAATAACAGCCATGTTGCATGATGACTAATATTGATAAACTTAACCCTTCCTAGCAATACAAGGATCTAAGTCATCTCCAGAGGCCTTGTGATGGAAAATGCTATCCACACCCAAACAAAGAACTATGGAAGCCAAATTGCTAATTTTTTTTCTCTTCTGTTTAGTTTTGTTTCCTCTTTCTGATGGTTCTTCCTATTGATTTTAATTTCTACTTATAACATCACTAATGTGAAAATATGTTTAATATGAATGTAAATGTATAGCCTATATCAGATTATGTGCCATCTTGGGGAGGGTGATGGGGAGGAAGGGGGAGAAAAATTTTAAACTCAGAAGCATATGGAAGTGATTATTGATAAATCAAAATAAACTAATAAAAAAAAGAGGAAAAAAATGTGCATACCCTTTGACCCAGCAATACCACTTCTAGGTCTGTATCCCAAAGAGATCATACAAATGGGAAAAGGACTCATATGCACAAAAACATTTATATAATTTATATAATTATATATTTTTTAATATATTATTTATATTATTTTTGTGGTGGCAAAGAATTGGAAATTTAGGGGATGCCCATCAGTTGGGGAATGGCTGAACAAATTGTGGTACGTGAATGTAATGGAATACTATTGCACTATAAGAAATGATGAGCAGGCAGACTTCAGAAAAACCTGGAAAGATGTTTATGAACTGATGCCAAGTGAAGTGAGCAGTACCAGGAGAACACTGTACACAGTAATGGCCACAATGTGTAATGACTAACTTTGATAGACTCATCTATTCTTAGCAATGCAAGGATCCAAGACAACTCCAAAGGACCCATGATGGAAAATGCTGTCCACATCCAGAAAAAGAACTATGGAGTCTCAATGCAGATCAAAGCATATTATTTGCTCTCTTTCTTTTTGATTCCTTTTTTTTTTCAGTTTCTTCTTTCTTGTGGTTTCTTTCCTGTTGATTCTAATTCTTCTTTACAACATGAAATGTTGTTAATATATGTTGTTAATAATGTTGTTAATATAATAATGTTGTTAATAATATGTTAATATAATAACATAGGTTCAATATGAATGTATATGTAGAGCCCATATTAAATTGCATGCCATCTTGGGGTGGGGGGAGGGGAGAGATGGGGAGAAAATTTGGAACTCAAAATCTTGTGGAAGTAAGCATTGAAAACTAAAAATAAACATAAATTTTAAAAAAATTTTCTCCAGTCAGCCCACAGGTTGAGATAACTGACAGGAAATCACTTAACTTATCCAATGTAAAAGATATTATGAACTCCTACAGTACTTAGAGTTTTTCCCACGTAATTCCATACAACTCTATAACTATATTATGATGCTATGTGCTAATTGTTATATGTGTTTATGTCTTATCTACCTATCGTTCCTCAATAGTAGGCATAAGTCAATATGTATATATGTAAATATGTATACACACACACACACACACACACATATCCTTTTTATGCTCCATGGTACCTAGTACAAGGTTGGGAACAATGTGGGTGTTCAGTAAATGATTTTTGAATGAAACAATTTCCTCAATTCCCTGTGAACCTTGTCCTCTGATTAGTGAGCTTTCACTTTCTCTAGTCCTGTTCTCAGTTTCCACACCACTTTCCAGCAATTTCTAGCTATATGTGTTGGCTTCCTCTATTAGAACACAAGATAGGGACATCTAGGTGAAGCAGTGGATAGAGCACCAGCCCCAGAGTCAGCAGGACCCGAGTTCAAATCTGACCTCAGACACTAGACACTTAATAGCTGTATGACCCTGGGCAAATCACTTAACCCCATTGCCTAGCCAAAAAAAAAAAAAAAAAACCCAAACTGCATGAGGACAGGAGCTTATTTACTTGAATTTGTATCACCACAGTGTATGACAGTGCCTGCCAAATAGTAAACTCTTAATAAATGCTTTTTCATTCATTCATTCAGTTGATTTTAACTCCTAGATATCAGAAACCATGTATCACACTTCTGTATTTCTCACAGTGTCTAAACCAGAGCTAGACACAAAGTCTTTAAATAACATGGTCTGTGTCATATACTTTTTCTGTATCTGCCCATAGTGCCTAAAACAATGTTAGCTATACACTAGCTGTTTAAAGAATATATTTATTGAATTAAATTTTCTCCTCAAATGCAATCAAATAAGTGTTTATGGGCTGATTTACTGCTTTCATATATGAAATATAGAACTTAGGGAAGAGACCAGACAGGGTAAAGAGAGGCCTTGTGGGCTTGAGTGGCAATAGACTGCAGTATCCATTAGTGGAAACCTACCAGATAAGTGCAACCTTCCTGTATAGATAATAGATAAATGCAGTCACAAGATCTTCCTTCATCTACAGAGTATGTACTCATAAAAACTTACCCTGGGCCCGGTGGAACACTGAGCATCTCTTTGACATTCCAGACGTTAAAGTTCATTTCTTAAGATTCTATTAAAAAGAAGGAAAGTATACTAATTAAGCCAGCTCATAAAGTAATTTTTTTCATAAACAATTTACAAATGCCTATTCTGTGGAAATCAGGATGTCCCAACAGTAGTATCTACATTATATTGCCATCAAAACATTTTCTTTACCACCATAACAAGGACTAACCTTTCCCAAGGAAGCATTTTTGGTGACTTTGTATAAAAGTACAAAGTACTCTAACAACATCTGCTAATTCAGTCAAAATTCCATATTTATTAACTAGCCAGGCCTACATTTGAATTCTGTCAAATTGCCATTTACATGACCTTGGACATGCCAGTTCATGTCTTTGGGTCTCATTTTCCTCATTTTTAAAATAAGAGGTTTGGATCAGATGATTTCTGTGGTTCCTTTAGCCCTAAAGGTATGATCCTCAAAGCCCTGTGAGACAAGTTATTACAGCTTATCTTCATTTCACAGCTGAGGAAACCAATATTCATAGAAATGATGTGAAGTCACAAAACTAGTAAATGTCAGCAATGGTATTCAAACTCAGGTCCAGCATTCTTTCTCTTATATCATGCTGAATAAAATTTAGGTCTTGCATCAAAAAGCTGATGCTCTAGTAAGAAAGATTCAACAACATACAAATAATTACCGTGTCAGGCAGAATGTCAGAAATGCCAGAAACACATCCCTTTCCCCACTATATCACATTAGTTGGGGCAAGTGGTATGTTTGTTCAGATTGTACCACATCTGTCAAATGAAAGTTACTCACGTTTATTGAAAATTCCTATTTCTGATAATGCTACAGAATGAATACCCAGTCATTACTACATTATTTTTCTAATTAGGAGAGCAACCTAGTACTTTATTAGTAGTCTATAGAACTACTTTACAAAGCAGTGCAAGTTTGTACAGGATTGTAGAAGTACTTGATTTCTTAGGAAATTGAAAGATTCTCCAGTTGTGGGTGCTTAAGTTCAAGTCATCCAGGTATAAGAGGCATTATATTGAGAAAGGAAGCATTCTACTCATCCAAGAAATCACACACCTAGGTGGCTGCCTAATTTAAATACTTATACCATACATATTGATACTCCCTCAAACACCCTTACCTCCCAGTTCCTCAATTTGCTCATTACCCATGACCTCTACCTCATCTCAGCTATATGCAGAGAAGGTCACACTCAATTTTGCTATCATCCACAAATGCTCCACATCCATGCATGTGATCTCTGAAATTCACAACCCATTGTCATTCTGCCTCTCCCTCTCCCTTCTAACCCAAAACCCAACTCTTTATCCTCACTGTGACCTCCAATGTTTGACTCTAGTTTTTTATTAGGCCACCACCATGGCACTGGTTATGTTCTCCACCATTCCTCTTGTTGACCATTTAGTGAACCAGTTCAACTCTACACTGTCATCTTAAATCTCTTCCCTGCTTTATCCTATCACCAATCTTGTCTGGAAAAGTCTCAGTCCTGGATTACTCCCATCATCAACTTGACTTCACTTCCAAACACATTCTGCCAAAGGAAGCTGCAGAAAATTCCAAAAACCATGCTGACTGAATCCATTACAAATTTATGTTACATAATCTCAACTGGGTCCTCACTGCTAGAAAGCAATCCTTTCTCCATCTCCCTAAAATACTCACTATATCACTCACCACAGTAGTGCCCCCAACCATTTTTATCCCTCCTCAAACTCCCCATAGCCCCCCTTTCCTCCTACCCTGTCAGCTGAGGACCTTATCTCATGTTTCACTGAAAAAATTGAAGCCACTCCCCCAAAGCTTCCTCTTTTCCCCTCTTTCTCAACTCAGATTTCCCAAATGCCTTCTGCCACTATCTCCACCTTCATCCCATCTTAGATATTGAGGTAGTCCTTCATGCTAAGGCAAACCCTTCTACATGCACACGTGATTGATCCCATTCCATCCTGTTTTTTCCAATAGATTGTCCCTGCTGTAATCCCACTCTCTCTCTTATCCTCAATCTCTCCTATGCTACTAGATGTTTCCTTACTGACTATAAACATGCCCATGTCTTTCCCATCCTCAAAAATCTCTCATTTGATCCATCTATGCCTAATAGCTACTGCCCCATATCTCTCTTCCCTTTTGGTACTAAATTCCTTGGGAAGGCCATTTACAATAGGTGCCACCTTTCCTCTCAACTCTCTTCTTAACTCTCTACAATCTGGTTTCCTATCATTATTCAACCAAAACTGCTCTCTCAAAGTTACTAATAATCTCTTAGTTGCCAAATCTAATGACCTTTTCTTTCATCTCTGCAGCCTTTGACACTGTTAAATCACGTCTTCTGCTTAATACTCTCCTTTCTCTTGCTTTTTGTGACACTGCTCTCTCCTAGTTCTCCCCCTTTGTATCTGACCACTTATTATACCTTCATTGCTGGATATTCATCTGTGGGTGTCCTAAAGGGCTCTGTCCCGGATCCTCTTTTCTTGTTCCTCCAAACTTCTGCTCTTGATGATCTCATCAGCTTGCATGGATTCAATTATCATTTCTAGGCAGATGATTATCAAATCTACTTATCAAGGCTTAACCCCTCAACTGACTTCCAGTCTCTTATCAACAAATGCATATCAGATGTCTCAAACGAGATGTCCCACAGACATCTTAAACTCAACATTTCTAAAACTGAACTCATTATCTTTTCCTCAAACCCTCTCTTCTTCCTAACTTCCCAGTTACTGTTGAAGAGTACCACCATTCTCTCATGCCCCCAGGCTCATAACATGGGCATCATCCTCAACACCTCACTCTCTCTCTCACCCCAACAATCTGTTGCCAAGGCCTGTCAATTTTATCTTTGTAATATCTCTCCTAGATGCCTCCTTCTCTCTACTCACATATCTGCCAATGTAGGCCCCATCACCTCTAGCATGCTAGATGGTCTCCTAGCCTCATCTCTCCTCACTCCAGTCCATCCTGCACTCAGCTGCCAAACTGATCTTCCTAAAGCATAGGTCTGACCATGTCACACTTCTACTCAATAAATTCCAATGTTCTCTATCACCCTCAGGATCAAATATAAAATCCTCTGTATGGCATTCAAAGCCTTTTGTAACCTGCCCCCCCCCTTCCCTGTCTTGTTATTCCTTACACTTCTAGCCTCCAGGTACTATGAGATCCAGTGACACTGGCCTCCTTTTTCCATGCACAAGACAACTCTATTTGCAGACTCAGAATTTTTGCTGGCTAGTGTCCCCCAGGCTTGAAATGTTCTCCTTCATCATCTCCACCTCCAGGCTTCCCTCAAGTCTCAGCTAAAAACCAACCTTATACAGAAAGCCCCCCTTAATTCTAGGACCTTCTCTATGTTGATTACCTCCAGTTTATCCTGTATAAAACTTGTTTGCACATAGTTGTTTGATTTCCTCCATTAGATTTTGAACTCCTTGAACAGAGACTGTTTTCTGCTTCTCTTTGTATCCTCAACTCTTAGCACAGTGCCTGGAACATGGTAGGTGCTTAATAAATATTTATCCACTGCCTGATTTTAGCTGATTTAACCCTGATAAATACTGACTCCAACAAATGCGTAGGAGACATACAAGTACTGAAATAATACACGCTGAAGCAGTAACAGTCATTTCTTTGTTGTTCAGTCATTTCAGTCATGCCTGACACTTCATGACCCCATTTGGGGTTTTATTGGCAAAGATACTGGAGTGGTTTGCCATTTCCTTCTCCAGCTCATTTTACAGATGAGGAAACTGAGGCAAACAGGGTTAAGTGATTTGCCCAGGGTCACAGAGAACACTAAATAAACACTAAACAAATACTGAAGCATTTGATAGTAAATATTAACATTTTTATTTTACACTACCTAACATTACTTTGGGAAGACTATTATACTGAAATATAAATAATTCTTAAAAAATAGATCCAATTTAATTAGACATTCAGAGTCTGTTTATTATTCTAGAATGGTAATGCAAATCAGCAGACCAACATATTATTCAGAAACCAAGAAGCTATCAGGTCTTAGCTTTGCAATTAAACACTAGACAAAAACAGTTATGCACATCACTTTCTCCTTTTCCTAGCTTTCCATCATCTACAAGAAGTTACTTAACCTTCTAAGTGCATTTCAGATTTCTTAGAAAATGGACTATAATCTAGCTCTAAATCCTGATATTCTAATTAAGCAAGAAAAGTGACTAAATTGTCCATACCCTTTGACCCAGAGGGTTAATATTGGGCATATGCCAAGGAAATCAAAGACAAAAACAAGGATCCAATATACCAAATATAGCAGAATCTTTATCACACCATTCTTTGTGGTAGCAAACTATGTGCATGTCTATCAAATGAGAAATGATTAGACAAACTTCAGTATGTGACTGTATAGAACATTACTATGCAGTATGAGGAATGTAAGGAATTCAGGGAAACAAGAACATTTATATGAACTGATACAGAGGAAAATAAGCAGAACTAAAAAATAATAAGCATAATGACTACAACAATGAAAATAAAAAGATCACTTAAAAGAAGTTCGTGTCTTTGTAATAGAAAAAAATCGGTTAAAATCCCTGAGAATAGATAATGAAACCTACCTCCTTCTCTCTTCAGAAAGTTGGAAGGACAACTACGGCCAGCCAGAATATTGTATACAGTATCAGAGTCAGTATTTTTCTTAATTGCTTTTGTTTGTCACAAAAGAAAGTTCAATGAGGGAAAGGTGCTGAAAAACTGTGAAGTAAGGACAACAGGTAACAATTAAATGTATTAAAAATGAATCCTATCAGGGCAGCTAGGTGGTGCAGTGGATAGAGTACCAGCCCTGGAGTCAGGAGGACTTGAGTTCAAATTCGGCCTCAGACCAAAGACTTGACACTTACTAGCTGTGTGACCCTAGGCAAGTCACTTAACCCAAATTGTCTTACCCCCCCAAAAGAAAAAAGAATCCTATCTTCTAATTTGAGTGATTATTATTTAAAAGACTCTACTATGCACTTCCCTCCCTTT